AACAAACAGGAGGTATCAGCCAACAACTGCATGCAAACGGAGCCCTCTCTGTCAACTACTCCCTGTGGGATCACATGGGATGTCCCAGAGCTGTGGGACCATGGACAAGTTACTACGGCCACAGGAGGGACCTCAGCAAGGCTGGAGTGGAAAAGAACCTGTGCAGGCGGCAGCACACTCTCCTTACACATCCCCAGCTATGATTATAATTGCTTAAACTTGACACCACACTTCTCGGTGAAACTAAGCATCATTTACACTGCAACCCTGCCAGGGTGGTAAATACTGCTAATTGTGTTTCAGCAGTACGTGCTACCTGGCCACCCCAGGAGAATTCAGACCAGCTTTGCATTTCAAGGCTGAGAGGCTGCAGCACGAGGCAGGCGCTCACTGACAAGACAAAAAACACATGCAGATGGCAGCTCTGACCTGCAAAACTTTCCTTCCCTATTTGTTAATCTGCACTTGTTCAAATAGTTACCTTTCTGAGTAACACAAACCAGGATGAAATCCAGGCTAGCGGCTGTTTCTGGGCTATTTCTCAGCTCTTCTGCCTTTCTACAATTTTTTATGACCCAGTGCAAGTGTTGGGTTTGGCGAGACCGCAAGGGATGTTCTGCTTTGAGCCTCCAACCACATCTGAACCCACTCTAAACCAGCTGCATTAGCAACAGGAGAAAAAACCTGCTGCTATTTTTACACTCTTCAAGGAACTCTGCTGTAACTCAGCTTCTCATTTCATCAGACACAGGTAAAAGGACACCAGCCTTTAGACAGTGAACTAGAAGTAACTGGGCTTTGCCATAAATCCATCTCTGTCTACTAACCTCCAATCCCAAAGCTTTATTCCCTTAATTCCTTTGCAACGATGCTTCTCCATCCCCAAGAGAAGCTCCATGTACCAAGAAGTATCTCTGCTTCCTCCAGAAGACCTCTGGTCCATGGATTTAATGCCAGTTATAGCAGCAGAGATAAGCCAGCAAGAACAAAAGGCATATCAAAAGCAAGGCAGACACAACCTCACACAGCATGCCAAGCAATAGGAAACACGTTTCCAAACAGCCATAGGCTAAGTTTGGAGGGACAGAGAGAACAACTCACTGTTACCTTGAATTTGCAAACATTTTCTACACAGAAGGTAAAAAGACCAGAGATCCTAATGCTGCTCAGCTGCAGAGCCAAGCACATAAATCACTTGGCTGTGTTATACAATCCATCGCCTCTTGCTCTGCTACCTATTCTGGGCTATCAGCCAACAAGAATATATTCAGAAGGAAAAAAAAAATAAAAAAGGTTCCCAACAACATGACTCTGCAGAAGGCACATAGCGGCAGAGCCGCAAGCTGCACCGCATCGTTTTTGGTGCAGTCTCTCACTTCCTGGAAACACACAGCACATTTCTGTTTCACCTGCTAAATAATTTACAGCTTGGGATTTGTACAAAACACTTCATATTTTTATTTTAATTTAGTTTTCTGCCCCTGAAGCAGCAATTACAGAGCAGGCAGAAGCAGGCAAGCCCGCAGGAGCTGACGAGGATCCTGCAGCGGCTAGACTAATTACAGCACGTCAAATTAAAAAGCGGGGCTGCCCTGGCAGGCAGCAAAGGCTTACAGGATGCATTTTACTTTTCCCCTCCCCTAAGACATGATTTAACAAAGAGCTTAGCTGGCTCTAAGGAAACCTGCCACCCTCCCCTGTAATCTCCATGACGCATCCCTGAATTAGCAAACTGGCCTCTTGAGGTGGCAGGAGGGGTCACCTGTGTTACTCACCCTGCTCCGGTGCCAGCGCCCAGCAGGACAGGGTGACGAGCAGGACAGGGTGACGGGAGAGGCACGACACGCAGTGCCTCTCCTGCCTTGCCAGGAGTGAGCTGTGTGCTGATGTCTCAGATCCTGATTTCTCACTCTGCATCAAGCTAGATTTTGGGAAACCCATGGACAGCCCTGCTACAAGCATGTGCCATGGGTTCCCTCCTTCCATTCCAGCATCTTCCTATCTCTCACCCGGGTAACCAAAGTCTGTAATAGCACTAGGTTTGAGTTGGCTTTTTTGAGGTTTTTTTTAAAACCCAATCTCAAGAAAAGCAGTGCTGGTATTTTTGAACATCTCGAGATCTTCTGCTGCACATGCACTTCCAAGGGAGAACAGCCAGTTCCAGTGGGGGATGGCTAAGCAGCATTGAGCATCTGCTATTTATTCAGACTGGCATTTCTGCTCCCTAAAATAATCCATCTGCTCAGGTTTTGCAGCACCCAGATCTCTGAAAGTGAAGGCCAGGAGCAGGAGGACATCCTCAGCAAAAAGCAGTGTCTGCTGGTTTGGTCTCTCACCCTCAGGGCTGCCCAGCAGCACACAGACCTGGACCTTTCTGCCTGACACTCCCAGTTCCAGTGGAAAAAGCAACCAAGTAATGAAGTGAGCTCTGCTGAGCCACAGTGCTCCACTTCATTACTCTGGTAGCAAAGGAAGTGTACAGGGTAACAAAAAAACACAGAAAAAAACATAACGGGTGCAAGACAACACTAAAGAGCAGACTTGGTTTCAGCAGCTTCAGCAATGCTCTCCATGCCCAATGCAGGAACAAAGAAGAGTTTTTAATGGGATGGGGTCCCTTTCCAAAAGGGTCAAGCAGGACAGGGTGGCCACAAGCCCAAAGAGCATCCCCAACTCAACACCAACACCCTGCACCACACAGACAAAGGCACCTCCCAGCCACCTTCACCTATTTCAGCACATGAAGGCTTTATGGTGTGAGGAAATCAGATCAGGCTGCGGGACACCATCACTCTGACCTCCCCACATCAGGAAACACTCAGACAAGGGTACCTCCACATCCAGCTGTAAATAAACCCTCGAGGCAGCAGCACCCCATGGTTGGTGTGGGCACCACTCACCTCGGCACCACCCAGCCTGACGACTCCACCTCAGAGGGTGCCTCTGCTCCCATCACCCTTTCTCAATAACTGTGCTGCAGGAAGATCTGACAGGCAATCTGCACAGGAAACTGCTCTTAGGGGCCACAAACTGCCTGGTGTGCACAGAGGATGCAGCTACAAACACCTCAGAAACCTGCTCCAGTGGTTGGCATACCTGCCCATGGCAGGGGTGTTGGAATTAGATGATCTTTAAGGTCTCTTCCAACCCAAAGCCATTCTATGATTCCATGAATACAGCATCTCCTTCAGGGACCCAAACCTGCACACTGAGTCAAAACACCAACAGAAAGTTGGTGAATCAACTTACTGTCCTGGAATTTGTGTCCTAAAATGCTGCAACACTAAGACTGTCATAATCTCAGGTTGTGTACAGTGCTGCCCTGCTGCCAGACTTGTGGGGACACAGAAATAAACCTAAAACTAAGTAAAAATCTTTAAAAATTTTTTAAAATTAAAAAAACCCAAAACACAAACTGCAGCTAAACACAGGGCACTTGACCCTGGTAAAGAAGAGCAGGAGCAGAGACCTGCAAGTGAGCAGGGACCAACAGTGCTAAACTGATGCTCTGGCAATGGTTTCCAAGCAAAACCAGCAGAATTCGGTAGAAAAGGCAGCTGGCTCTGTGGCATTGCCTTGGCACAAGTTGGAGAGGAGCTGCACTGCCTGCCGCCCTTCCCAGAGGTCAGCTGCACCCTTCGCCAACACTACTGGGAAAGTGCTTGCAACATTAAAGTAAAAGAAATAAACACATAAAAACAGCAGAAGGACAAATAAACTGGTCTGGAAGTTTTACGGTAACTTGGCAGACAGAAGGAGCAAACGTCCTGCCCTGATCACTGCAAAAAGGATCAAATTACTCGGTCCGAAAAAAGTTGCATGTGAGGAGAGTACTGAAGAGTAAGGCAAATTTCTGCTTCTTGCAACACGACCAGCTATTTCAGCTGGTTTGGGGTTTGTGAAATGGGACTCACTGCTCAGCAGTTCCTCTACCCATCTCAAGAGCAAAACACAGGGAGTGGAGCAAGCCAGAACAGCAGCACCACAACATCTGGTCCCTATGAAGGAAAACCCAGCAGCCAGCCCTGCAGCCAGCACAGACCAGAGCTCGGGAGCATCCCTGCCAGCCACAGTTTTACTCCAAACAGATGAAATCCCCCAGCTTTCCAAAAGCCCCAAGCCGAAGTAAGGTGATGTCGTTCTGGTTCCAGGCAAGGGCAGCGGGGGAGATGGTGGAAACTACCTTGCAGCAGTCAGTGGGGTCCCAAAAAATCCACCAAGCAAATGAAATCACAGCCAACACCAGCCCCACACAAGCTGCCAAGCTGCTACTGCTCCAAAGCCCAGCAGCCAGGCAGATTTGGGATTGCTGTACTGGTAAAAGACCCACAAGCTATCGATTTGAACACAGCTCCCTGTAACATACTTCCTTCGGGCTGGAAACATATGAACTCCTTGTGTGACCAAAGGGAGATGCCCAAAATGTTGAAGGTATCGGAAAACCCAAGGAGGATCCCGCCAGCTCAGAAGAAAATGGGAATTTTTCCTTGCTTGCTTGTATAATCACACACACAGGAGTGAGAACACACTCACACACAAAAGTAACACACATGTATTTGCTCAGAGTCTTGCCTCATGCCCCAAAACTGCTCCTGTGTTTCCCCAGACTTTTATATCACTCTTTTTCCCACCTCTTCCCTCTACACCCACCATTCCCAACTGACCTCCAGGATCCCAGCTGGAGCTGCATATCTCAAACTCCCCATCAGCATCTCATCTTCCAGACGTGCAGCAGCACTGGCTTCTCCCGGCTCGCTTCTCCCAGCGGGAATCCAGCACTAGGGAGCGCCCGGCCAGCACCCAGCACGGACCCCGTCTGCTCCGCCACTGCGCCAAGTTCCCCTTCGCCTCCAGGGGCTGTTTCCCGGCTAATGCCCTTCCAGCTTCAGATTATTTGCTGTTTACTCGGATTCCTGTCGAGCCAGCGCCAGCTTGCTCAGATCCACCTTGAGTTCAAGAGCAAGTGCTCCCCTCGGTTACACAACCCAGCCGCAGCAGCTGCGGCGTCCGCCTGACACACCGAATTACTGTCTCTCCCCAAGGAGACGGGATGCAGCCCCAAAGAGCTGGCTGGGAAGTGCCCTACCTGGCAAGGTAAAAGGGGAGATAAAGCTGCCGGAAAACATTTCCGCGATAAGTCAGGGCAGCCGCCTGCCATTCGCAGCGGGGAGTTTTACTGCCTGTCCAAAGGGTGGCAAGAAAAGCGGCTGCTGAGGGGAGGGACGGACGGATGGATGGATGAATGGATGGATCCCTGTCCAGCGCCGAGCTCCCGGAGCAGCGCAGAGAGCGGAGCAAGGATCCGCTCAGCCCTGGCTGGGGGATGCCGCCGCCTGCGCTAACGCAGGGATGGGGAGGATGGATACCGCAGGGAATATCGAGCCAAGCCGCCGTCCCCTGCCGGGATCGGGGCTGGGACAGGCAGCAGCTCCAGGGAGGGCGCAGCGCAGCCCCGCACAGCCCCCGACAGGCGAAGGGGGCCAGCAGGACACCCAAGCACCCTCCCCTGCCGCCGGGCTGCCCCAGGCGGGGCAGGAGGCGCGGGCGGGCAGCCCCGCACTGCAGCACATCCCCACCCACGCCGCGGACACGCGGATGCCGCGCGGGCGGCGCAGGCACGGCCGGGTCCCCGCGCTCCGCACACTCACCGCGAGGATGCCGGCGAACCCGGCGGAGCTCCGGCTCGCCGCGGCGGCCCCCATGGTGGCGGGGCCGGGGCTGCGGGCGAGGCGCTGCCCGTGCGGCCGCGCTGCCTCAGGCGTCGGGGACGGCGCGGGGACAGCGGAGCCGCCTCCCGCGTCCCCATCGCCCGCCCCGGCCGTGGGGCAGCGGCCGCTCCGCTTCCCCGCGTGCTCTGGGTCCGCTGGGGATCAGCAGTCCCGGGGATCGCAGCGGGTGTGGGTGTTCGGCACCCTGGAATCTCCCGGGGGAGACTTTTGTTTGTTTTTATTTTCCGTGTTCTCCAATGTCACACAGACAGGGAGGAATTTTTTCACAGAAGGGGTGGTGAGCACTGGCACAGGATGTCCAGAGAAGCTGTGGAGCCCCATCCCTGCCTCATCCCTCATCCCAAGGCCGGCTTGGACAGGTCTCTCAGCAGCCTGGTGCAGCACGTGGCATCCCTGCCGTTGGAATGGGGGTTGGCACTAGACAGCCTTTAAATGTCCATTCCAACCTAAACCATTCCATGACTCTTATCAACACGTAGCACATTCCCCGTGGTGGAGGAATTTATCAGGGAACAGACACATCCCTCCGTGGAGCATCCCTCTGTGGCCACAGCACAGACAGTGCCTCACTGCCCACCTTGCACATCTGAGCAGGGTGGGCAAGGCAGGGTCACGGTCACAGTGTCCATTGATAGCTGTGGCAGGTGATGGAAACAGGTCCAGGTTTACCCAAGGAGTCAGGGGAAACAGGAGATGGGGCCAGAGTCAGGACTGCAAAGGATGCATCCTGCCTCCAAGGTCTTTACAGGAAATGGGAACTGAGGTGAGAATTCAGCATTGTTCCAAAGTCTGACCAGGAGACCAGGGCACCCCCAGGTACGGCTGATCAGGGCGTTCAAGGTTTATGAGTGCTGCAAATCAAGGCTATTTATGACTCTCCACATAGCTGATGTTCTATTGAGAAAAACACTCAAACACCTGATTTCCAGAGCCTGCAGAAATCCTGGTGACCAGCAGTCACCTTCTGGAGATGCCCTGAAGGCAGATGAACTAAGGGAGGGTTTCAGTGCCATGCCAAAGAAAACAGCACAGAACTTATAAAATCCCATCTAAAACCCAGGAGGAATGGGGGGGAATGTGGTGCTCTTGCTCTAAAGAAGTGTGGATTCCATCCAAGCCCTTCTGAAGCTCACAAGAAGCCTCATTCTGATTCCAGGGAGTTTGGAGTCCAGCTAGAAGGCTCCTTTCCCAGACAGAGTGGATTTTTTCTCCCCACCCTTTCTCTATCTCTAATGCTGGAGGGGAGCTGGAGAGGAGCAAATGACCCTTGGGAGCCTGGGAATGAGTCTGGAGAGCTTCCCTCTCAGAGCTGGGGTGGTGGTGGCAGGACTGCTGCTCCCAGGGGGGAATAAGAGCCAGTGTGTCACATGTGCAGGGAGAAGATGTTCCTCCACAGCTGGCTGTGCTGCTGTGCAAGTGCTGCAGAGCCCTGTTTTGGGCTTTGCCTTCCCTCGGGGCCCCCAAACCCAGGAACAACATGCTCTTCCCAGGAGGTCAGTGAAGGGGAGCCTCATCCCAAAGGGAGATCAAAATGCAAACCAAGACACAGTTCTTCAAAAGTTCTTAAAAAACAAAAAAAAGTTCTTCAAAAGCAATGGCATGCCCATCACTGCTTTTAATTCAAAATAAATTGGGCAAGTAATAGGCAATAACACAACTTGTTAACACCAGGCTTGTGGATGATGGAGTGAATTTTAATTTTAAGAATGTGTAGGTCTCTGATGAAATACATGGCAGATCTTGGTGCAGGACTAAGTGGCCTGGTTGTGTCTGGGCTGGAAGAGGGTTTGAAATGCCCCAACAGCACCAAGCCACGCTGGGTCCATCAGCACTGTGAAGGGCAGCGTTCAGATTGTATTAGGGAAAAGCAGAGAAATAATCATCTGGAGGACAGGGTGACTCAGGGGATTGGCAATAAGATGGATCATGTTGCTGCTTTGGAATGGATTCCAATTAGTTACATCCGCTTTTAATTATTATTATTTATACAGAACCTAAAGGCAGTCCAGAGATTATCCAAAAATGCACGGGCTGATCTGCAAATCCTCCGTCCCTCCTCCCCTAGGAGCCCTTGCAATGACAAACCCCAGTCACGCTGCCTGGACTGGTTCATACTGGCTGAGATGTAAGTTACTTACTAGTGACCAGCTTGCTGCTTCTCCACTTTTGTCACTCTTCGAGAGGAAAACAGGGAACGGGTGACTGAGGCCGGAGTTTCGTGTTAAGTGTTTTTGTTGGACGCAGCAGCTGCTCAAGAAGTTCCTCCTCGCCTCCCTGCATTCGGTTCCTTTTTCCCCCTTATGCCACCCCGTGAGTCATGCAAATACACCCAGGTCAGTGAACTGGTAACTTTGAAAAACAAGGAGGGTTTTTTTAATCAGAGTAGGTGAAACTCGCTGCTCATGTTGACCACAGACTGCTGGGTCTTTGCTAAGCTGGTGGTAGGAGTCCGAGTGGGCATCCACTGACCTCGTTTGCCACCAGAAATTATCACTCTCCAACAGCAAGGTCTCTTGTCTTGTGAGCAAAGCCAGTGCTCCTGCTTAGTCACCTGAGGCTTATTCAAGCCTATTCATGAATTGGGAAGAATTGTCTTACCAAGAGAAGCTATTTGGGAAATTTGGAAGAATATGCCACAAAACCATGGAATCAGAGAATGGTTTGGGTTGGAAAGGACCTTAAAAATCATCTCCTTCCAACTCCCTGCCATGATCAGGAGCAGCTTCCACTAGACCAGATTGCCCAGGACCCTATCCAGCCAGGCCTGGAACCCTTCTGAGGATGGGGCATCATCACTTGTTTCACCCTGTAGAAACCAGAAACATTCCAGGAAATGATTTCTTATCCCTGACTTGCCCTAGAAGACATCAGGCTAATGGGGCAGGCATAATTTCCTTTCAAAGTGTCTCATTCTCTGTACATGGACCATTGCTTCCACATCTCCCATAGAAACAGAACATTTCTGTGTTGGTGTTGTTGTTATGGGAAAGTAGCTGCTGCATGGGAAAATTTATGACTCCAGTTCATATAGAAACCAAAATTACAATTTGCATTAACATGAATTGGGAAGTTAAATCAACAAAGCCCATAGACTTCCCTGGGTGAGGGAAAGGAGAGTTTGGGTGGGCGTTCTCACCCTTTTGACCCTCCCTATGATCTCCAGGAAACTGGGAAGGGAAATGTCTACCGAGAGCAGATGTTCCCAGCAGGAATATATAGATACACACACACACACACACACACATATATATATATACACAAAAACACAGTCATTTTGAGCCAGGTGTGTTATCACTGATGGATTTCCCACCTCAAGAACCCCATGGGATTTCAGGGCCAGGCACCAGGGAGGTAGGGTGGCAGATGGGGAGTGAAGTGTGGCACTGTTGGATGGAGGTTTGGTTGCCATCACACTGAGCTGATCTCTCCTCTGGAAACAGTGGATGCACAGCTGCAGAGTCTGCTTTCCCAGAGGACTTTAAGAAAGGAGAAGGAGCATCTGATGGCCAGGCTAAGTGCATGAACACCGCCTTAGGCCTGTGCCCAGGGCTGTGAGACAACCAGCAGGTGGGATGGGGAGGTGAGGCTGCAGGTGAAGCGCAGGTGGCCCTGCATCTTCTCCCCTGGTGAGATCAGGGGGTGAGGCTCATGAGGTTGGCATCTCACATCCTTCCCAGCTCAGTGACTTGCTCTGAAGAAGTTTCCTTCCTGACCTCCAAGTCATGCAAGTGCTGTCAAGCAGGACAACTTTTATCTGACCGAAAGCCACAGCTGCCTGCACGCCTGGTTTGGTGCATGTGGAACAAGCCCAGCAGTCACATCTGCACCTCTCCAAGTTAAAATAATAGATGCATTTAAATCTTCTTTTTATGGGGTTTTATCCCTTTGGAGTCTTGTTTTGCAGGAGATCCTTTGGCTCAGCTGCAGAGTGAGGTCTGGATACAGAAGCCTGAATGCTCTTATTAACCTCAGCAGAAGCACTGGGACTCTGGGCACCTCATTCCAGTGCCCTCATTCACCTCCCTCCTCCCTTCCTCATTCCTTTCCTTCTCCTTAGTGCAAGTGCTCTGGGGCTGAGGCTTGAACAGTGCCTAACAAAGCCAAGCCTTGCTCTCAGCGGGGGTATCTTGATGGTCATGAAGCCGAAATGAAAAATTATGAAGACCATTTTTATGGATGAACCTGAAAGCCTTGCAGTGTCCCTGGGTTTACACTGGAGGAAGTGAAGCAGTGGATTAAGTGGTGTAGCCATGAGCAGAGCTCAGAGCCTCATGCTGAGCAGAGGATCACTTGTTGTCTTGCTCCTCTGTGGGCAGCATAAGGGACAGGGAGGTGACAAGGGGATGGGGTGGTTTGCAGAGCTTT